GGGATGGACTGACTCCATTTCAGTCCTCCTGAAAAAAACTTGAAGCATCCCTGGCCAGTGTTGCTTAGTGGTTGGAGCATTGGCCCGCACACCAAAGGGGAGTGGGTTCAATTCCCAGTCAAGGGCACGTACCTGGGTTGGGGGTTTCAATCCCCAGCCCTGGTTGGGATATGTGTGGAAGGCAACCAATCTATGACACATCAATGTTTCTCTCTCTCTCTCTCTCTCCCCTTCCCTACCACCCCTCCACACTCTAAAAATCAATGAAAAAAAAAAAGATCCTCTGGTGAAGATTAACAAGAAACAAATAACACTTAAAAGAAATGTGGAGCATTGAACTGCACTGGTCCACTTTTACGCGGATCTTTCTCAGTAAATACCTATACTATTGGGATCCAAAGTTGGGAGTCTGTGGTTGCAGAGGGCTGTCTGTCGGCATTGATCTTCTCCATTCTCTGTAGGGGATTTGAGCATCTGTGGTTTTTGGTATCTACAGGGTATCCTGGAACCAACCCTTTGTGGATACTGAGGTACAACTTAAGTTTGGGGGGCAGTCAAAAATTATATACAGATTTATTACTACTCGGGGGGTCAGTGCCCCTAACCCTTGCACCGTGGAAGGGTTAACTGTAATCTCTTTTAGGGAAGAATGAAGATGTAGGCAGAAAGCATGAGGCTAATATTTGTGGAGATCATTTCAGTTAATTCTGGTTCTCTGAGAACCAAATTATAGAGTGCCAAAATGTAAGTTAAGTACTAATTCCAGTTTCTTTTTCATTGTGGTAGGGAAGATGATTCTAAAATTACATAGAATTTATATTGAAAGCACGCGATAAAGATGGTAGAAGTTAAGAGGAATCCCTCAGGCTCAGTTTGTGTGACAGATGCTGGCTTACAGGTGAGCCTGGTGGGATACGACTTCTGTTTTCACTTGTAGGTAAGGGGCTGGAGAAATCTACTGCCCCACCATAGGGGTGGCGAGTTGCCGTCTGGTTCTGAACACACATGGGGAAAGGTTACCTTCGGCTCTGGGCTTCTGTTCAGCTTTAAGGAGACGGAGGAAGACGCCACCTGCACTTTCTTTACTGTTCTTCTTGCCTCGGCTTCCATTTTGGTTTCTGGCTTTGGATGATCATGTTCTCCCTTTGACTTAAAGGAGACAAGGATGTAAAGTAAATGACCAGATGGTACTTCATGGTGTGTAAAATTTTACCCTGTGCCCTGTCATATGACCGTGTGTTGCTACAGTTGAGCGTTGTAACAAGGTTGGCTACACCCTTTAAGTACCTCCCAAGTCCACCGAGCCCTTTCTTGCCTGCCTGTTTTTGTTTACGAAGCTCCTTTTCCTGGTGTCTCTCACCCACATGGCAAAGTCCTATTCGTCGGGATAGCAAGTAATGCCTATTGCATACGATCTCATTTAACCTCCAGCACAACCCTGTGAGGCACATGCTATCATTATCATTCCCAGTTAGCGGAATGGGAAATTGGGGCATGGAGAGATTGCGGTCCCTGGGTCACTTCCCTGGTAAGTGGGTGAGCTGGGAGCTAATTGTTAAAGATTCAGGAATTCTATGAGCTGGTTGTTAAAAACAGCCGATTGCTTTAAATCAGCCAGGATGGGGAGACTTACAGCACAGGAATGGGCCAACCCTGAAAATCAGAACACTTTCCTTTCAGGGGAGTGGGAGGGACAGGGTTACCAGCAGACACTGGCAGAGGCCACTCCTCACCGCTGTGTATACCACCCCTCCCGCTTTTACTCCCCAATACCCAGGTTTTACAGAACACTGGGGCTTAGGGAGGGCAGTGTTAGGTTTGCAGAACAACTCAGAAGTCAGAGCTGGTATTCAGTCTGCGAGGCTATGTACAAGGCAGGGCTGCTGGCCTGAGCGCGATCACGTTACTAATCCTACGGAGCCCGAGGCAGAGGCAGCCAGGCACCCCTGCTGAGGGGTGGGGTACAGGCACGTGCTCACCCAGAGTGTGCCTACAGGTCAGTGTCGGCTCTCATTCACCTGCACATCTCCTGTGTGAAACCCCTCCTCATACTCTGTAACCATGTCTTGAATTAAAGAGAAATGGCATCTTATCACTATAACCCAAGTCCAACCTGGAAAAATATGAAGCGTCCTTCATGCCTCCAGAAGTTGGTGACCGGGAAGCCCCCGTGGCCTCGGCAGGGAATGAGCTTCAGGGGCCCATCGCAGTTGGGACAGCGTTTCCCTGCAAAAGAGCAGCAGAAGGTGACCCCGTGCCACCGAGCCATGCCAGCTGACCCCTGAGCCCGGGCAGCCCTGGTGGTGTTAACCAGGAAGCCGGGATGGCAGAGACGACACCTGGGCCAGTTTTATGCACTTCCATCCACTGGGCAACCCCTGGCCCTAGGAAGCCTGGCCACCACACGGCCCAGATCAGTCTCACACGTGGCTAGTCGAAGCGGCCTATAGAACGGGGTATTTCACAGGTTAGGGGAGAGGTCTCCTGAGCAGAATATACCTCTCTCTGTATTTACTGATAAGTTAAAATTCTTTATAGAAAAGAAGACAAAATTCTTTTACTTCACGATTACAACTAAGAGTCAAGGAGCAAAGCCACGTGGGAGAGAGAACGCAGCTGCTAATTTTTACTCAAGCGTAAATGACCAATATTAGATCCTGCCTTGAGAGCAAGTCTTGAAGACAAGTTACAAGGAAATAACAGGAGGTTACTTGAGGTCTGAAATGGACCAGGCACAGGGAATGCTGAATGTATTTCACAATCCGATGAACATGATAAAAAACAAAAGGAGCACATATTTCCGCATGTGATTATGGCGTGAACCCAAATGTCATGGAATTGAGTCTAATCGCAAATTTAGCCCCGGTGCTCCCACTCCAGATCAAAGCACTCCTTGAGATCATACAGGGATCTTTCCCCCACAAGGTCAGGAAGCAAATCTAATAGACAACGTTCTCCTAAACTTTATATGGGCTCGCTGATGAATTAATGTTAGTCCCATAAGTGAGGCATCTCCTTTTTTTTTTTTTTTAACATAAAACATCAGTACATATTAGACATTTAAAAAACATTTCTTTACATTTTTTAAAATTTCAGCTTCATTGAGGTATAACTGGCATCTGCCTTTTAACAGAGGCCTTGAGTTAGGTGCCTAAACTCAAGGGAGCAGTTTTAATGGTGGATGCTCTGGTCAAGGCAGACCCGTGGGGCAGTACCCTGTGAGAGCAAAGGGGGGGTGAGTGGGTTCTCCTTAACATGTTCTGCATAGGGACAGCCTTGGTCTCCTCCCGTGTGAAGGCTGAGCCCTTGTGATGTGCTGGGATGTAGCGGCCCAGCTGAGCGGGAGCGTTTGAATGGACACCGGCTTCCTCTCCAACGCCAGCGAGCCCCACTCACTCTGCTGCTTCTGCCGGGCTTTGTCGCAGATCGCAGGCCTCAGGTAGATCTTGCGGCCCTCCTTGGCAGAGCAGTCGCGGCTGCACACCACCACGCCCAGGCAGGACTTCTTGAGGATGCGCGAGTTGTGGTTGTTGGTGTTGCGCATGGCCCAGCTGCTCAGGTGCCTCTGCGCGCTCCTGTCCTCCGAGCTGTAGATGTACTTCTCGTAGGAATCCGGCCATTCTTGGAACCAGTCTATCTTTTTCACATCCTTACAGAAACACAAAGAATACCATTATATTTTAAGCTAGAAGGCCCGACTGTCCATCACCGTGGAGGCCATAGACAGGAAGGTGGTTCTGACGCCCAAGAGCCAGGCCAGGGACCCTTGGCAGAGACCAACCTGGCTCCCCCGGAGACGGTGATTTCTGAGAAGGCCATGCAGCAGCAGCTGTGTCTCCTGCACCTTTGGTCCCTGGACCAAAAGGAGCTGTGACTCAGCCCTCTGAGTTCTACCCGATGGCGGCTTCTCTGGCCCTTGGTGATAAGAGTTATGACCACTTCTCACTAAGAATTTTTGAGGGTGAAGTAACGTTATTGTGTTGACACAATTAATGCGGAAACACCCTTGTGGCAGGATAGTGAGGTCATAACTCATACCACCGTGCAGTTACCATATTAAGCCCGGTAAGGCTAAGGCAAAGTCATCGGCGGAGGGAGGACTGGAGAGCCTGGGCACAGGTGGAGGGAGGACTGGAGAGCCCGGGCGCAGGAGGAGTCTGAGAGCCGTTCCCGCCCTTATGGAGGTCTCCTTTTTCTCCACTCCCATATTCATGTGCCTCAAACAGGGAGAGGAGTAAGGAGGAGATTGCTTTGACCAGAAGCTTCTATCTTCTTGCTCAGGATTGGCACTATTCCCTGTGCTGAAGCTCTAACTAAACAAAGACACTCCATCGTGAGCATTAGGTATTTGGCTTTCTGTGTCTCTGTTTCCTTATCTGTGTAATAGGGATAACAGGACTTGTCTACCTCAAAAGTAGTTCTGAGAATTAAATACGATAATATACAAAAATACTTAGCACAGCCTGGAGTACCTTCCTCAGGCCCCACTTTAGTCCACAGAAGCCCCATCAGACAGTCCCAGCTGGTGCTTAGTGTGAGAATTATTAAACAGTCTCAGGAGTCAAACTTGGGCTGTGTCCATCCCCACAGCTCCCAGAGACCCGCCATGGTATAAGAAGAGTCTGGAAGATCAGACTAGAAGATTCCAGAAGGCCCAGAAGGAGTGATCAGGGGACTGGTGTTCATTGAGTTAGATTTCAAGTTTAGAAAATGACAAAGAACTGTGTAACAGGAGACTCTGAGTAAGGGGTTTTGTCTCCGAAGCCTCACTTTGCTCTTCTCTGAAACGGGAACATTGATAAAAGCACACTTCAGACAGTACTGTAACGAGCAGATCTGTAAGCTGTATATGATGAGAGTTGTTTGAGTGGAATGTCACGGGAGCTGAGATAGGTCTGAGGAAATATGAGAGGTTCTATGCACTTGAGCGGTTAGTGGTTAAGAGCTAAGGCCTGCAAACTTGACACATGGGCCAAATCCAACCCACTCTCCGCTTTTGTAAATAAAGTTTTATTGGAACACAACCGTGTTCCATGCACTTGACTGTTGCCCATGAATACTTTCATGCCATTATGGCAAAGTTAAGCAGTTCTGGCAGAGACTGGATGGCCCGAAAAGCCTAAATGTATACAATGTAATTGGCCCTTTACAGGAAGTTAGCCAATTCCTGGCTAAGAGCATGGCCAACGGAGGCAGATGACCTGGGTGTGAGTCTTAACAAGCTCCGCCCCCTCTCAGTGCCTGTTTCCTGCTCTGTAACAAGAGCATCTACTTCACAGGGATGTTCTGAGGATGGAATCATCTGACATACGCAAAATGTTTATAACTGGCCACAGCAAGTTCCACATCAGCGTTGGCTGCTATCTACTAGACCTGGGGCCACACCGGCCAGCCAATGTGACTGTAGCAGCCCGCAGCTTTCAGGGAGAAAGGGCCCACGGAGGGGCCACTGCATGCCTTAAACCTCGCCAAGCCTACTGCAAGTCCAAGCGCCTACACAACAAAGCTTCATTGTTGCAACTCTGGTTCTACCCGCTTCCTTCTCAGGGCAGTGACCACAGCGGGCCCTTCGAGGAACTCCTGTGTTTTGGGAAGGGGAGGCTATCCCTGAAGAAAGGGGTGAAGGGTACTTCTGAACGGGATGAAATTCAATGTCCCAGAGGGAGAGAAACAGCTCAGGCAGCCTCATGATCTCCTGCTTTCTCCACCCACCTCTCTCCTCTCCCTTTTGGCCTAAGCGCCAAATAAGGCTCTCTTGTTTCCTGTCGCAGAAGTGCTACAGAAAGCATAACATTTTACCTTCTGAAATAATCAAAATGCAGGTTAAAATGTGTACCTCTGTCTAACAGTTTGGACTGTACAAATCTACTGGTGGATCCCAATTACGCATTTACAAAGCACAGTTGTCAGGGTAGCAGAGACAGGGGAGAGGGGGACTTAGAGAAGCTGAGATTTTCACGTTTTAAAGTTGAGTGGCCCTTTAGGCTGGTCACTGGCATAAATCCCATGAGCCAGGAGGAGGGGAAGGTATTTATGAGAGCGGCTCAGATGTTCTGGTTAAAGAAGACGCCCTGTTCTCAGAGGAAAGAAAATGATCTCTACCCTGTCTCTCTCTTTTCCATTTTTCTCAGTTTAGTGTGTATTTTTATCTCTCCTGAGGCTTCCTCTTTGACCTATGGCTTATTTAGAAATATATAGTTTAGTTTCCATGTGTTGGAAGATTTTCCTGTTGTCTTTTGCCATTTTCTAGTTTGATTCCATTGTAATTGGAGAATATACTCTGTGTTTTTTATTATTTTAATATTCTTGAGATTTGTGTGAAGGATCACAATATGATCTACATTCTACTGTCTTTTCAGCTTTTTTCCCCCCACAGCCCATCCACTGGCACCCTAGGTTTCCAGTATCACTGATAATGCAACAATTTTGACAACATATGGACTTGAGGAAATAACTAGGAGTAAAAGGACTCAAGCTATTCTCTTGGCTATTAATTTATGCCCAGTTTTTTGACCTGAATGCTTTGTGGAATCTTCTAGCTCTTTTGACATTGAAATTAAGGGAAAGCCAGATCACAACAATGCAAAGGAACCCAGGTGTCAAATGAATGATAGTGACTTTTGAAAGCCTTTTAAATTTAAGGCACAGGAGAGGTAAAATGTAAAAAGAAAGAATAATCATTTCTTAATTGTGTTTAGCAAATTCCTGCAAAATATTTTCTTCTTTTTTTTTTTTTCAGATCTTTTGTTTATTTTAATTTCTAACTTTCATGAGTAACTCTTTGTTTTTCCTCTTGGTTAAGAAGTTTATAATTTAAGAGAATATTCTTAAGGTTCCCAACATGTATGTAAATCTAACTAATTTATATTTTATAATCTCATTGGTAATACATTGGGAGCTTCATGAATGTTTTTATGATTTCTCTGTGTGATTTTTCACTAAAAGACTTAATCCTCCAACTCTCAAAATCCTTGAAACTCTATATGATCATAGATCACCCTTCATCATCTCCTCATTCTAATTTATTTAACTACTGAAGTTTTAACAGAGTACCTTAAGAATTAAGAATATGCTATTATGTAAAACAACAAATTAAAATCAACATTCTGAAATGAGGCATCAAAAATATCTACCTGACTAGGTTATTATATTAAAACTGATTTTCATTTGGAATATAGTCTAGTCGCAGATAAAGTAATTATCTACCAGGTTTTCTTTCATTATAACAGCTTATTAAGTCCTTAAAAATAAATGTTTCCAAGTAAAACAGGAATAGCAAACAGATACATCTTAAAGCAAATGAGATAGAAGGGAAAATTAGATGTCACTTATGGAAAAACAATTCCACCAGCATTTTGATTTACACACAACTTTTCAAGAATTTATCTCTTCTGAGCCAAATGAAAACAAACTCCAAGGGTTCTCAAAAAGATAAATTCTATTCAACAAATGCGTTTGAGTCAGGAATTCCTGCTTAGGCTAAACCTGCCATTTCCTTCCTTCGTTAAGGGGTCGAGACTCAGACAAAAAGCACCTAACTTACTCAGACTAAGGTGACCCAGTGTGGCCCAGCTTTTAATCTCTGTCACCTACTTCTCCCTTCCCTTCCCCACTCCACCCCACTAAGCAAGGGATCCCTGACAGGTGCTCAGAGAGAGCTCTGCTACTACGAGTGCAGTAATGGGGCCAAGCCCTTCACACCGGAAACACAGGGCAGCAGAATTCTGGCCCCAATCACAGGGGAGACAATGAACATGAAAGCCCACATAGGTTGCTCTGCCCCAGCGAGTTTCCCGATACCAAGAAAACTGGATAAAGAGGACAAAGTCATGGGTATCTGCGTCAATGTGACCTGATCATGCAGCCAGATAATAATTGACCAGAAACCCAGAATCTGGGACCTGTTACTTCCCTCCCCAACACCAAGATACAATGATTGCTACAGCTGGCTCCTTCTGATCACATTTAGTCACATGAATTCACAGATAGAGCTCCGACATTCACGTTGGCTAATAAGTTTTCACTCATCTCCTACAAATGCCAAAGAAACTTTGCTGGCTAAAATCATGATCCAGGAATTAACTAATCGGAGATGCGACCTCTTTGTAGTTGGCTCATCAGCTTTTAGGTTGGTCTGCATTTCTACTTAACCTATGTATGTCCTCATTGTTTTCTGTCTATAAAACATGTACTTCGGCCTTGGAATTTTGGAGTTAATGACTCAGTGTGGCTTTGGCCATGGGTTTAATCTGAAAACTGCTCATGCTTAGGAACAAAATGATTCCAGGTATTTGTCTGCTGTGGTATTGCTGGAACACCCTGTACTTTCGCTTAGAGAAACTGGCTGGTGCTAAGAACGGAGTAGCTACTCTCATCTTCCTGCTG